GAGGAATCAGACGCCTGGTGTCTCTACCTTACGCACACCAGCAGCAAGGGGTCGCAGAAAGAATGAACCGGACCTTGCAGACGACGATGCGGAAGCTGCTCTTGGGGATGAGACTGCCCAACATACTGTGGCCAGACGCGATGACACATGCAGTCCACCAGCACAATTTGTTATCCTCGTCCTCGCTTCCCAACAACGCATCACCGCACCTGCTGTGGACACGAAAAAGGGGCAGCACAAAATTACTTCGGGTTTTCGGCTGCATGGTACAATACAGACCCCACACAGCCCGAGCAGGACGCTTCACTCAACGAGCACGGTGGGGACTACACCTCGGCATTACCAAACATTTCCAAGCATGGAAACTCCTCGACATACAAGACAAAAATACAGTGGCATCACGTGATGTGATTTTCTACGAGCGACTGACACTGCAGCATTACCTGGACAACGTCGCCAACACAGATGACCCCACCGACGGCTTCGCGGGCCTTCGGTCCTGCGCCGACCGTGCCGCCGAAGCTGACGCAGTAGAAGAAGGCGTACCTGGAGCCTCGGAAGCTGCCGGACCACTCCCCTACTGTTCCGTGCCTGTCCCACTCGACAACGACAATCCTCTCGATAGCAATAACCTCGACACGCATTACCACTTCGCTGACCAAGGTTACGTTACACCTCACCCGGTCGACACAAATGTCTCAAAACGCATCGGCCCAAACTTCTTACTTGATCCAGATCGACGTCGCAAACGCCTTCCTGTATGCACCTGTGGACGCTGAGATCTTCGTCGAACAGCCCCACGGATTCATCGACGACCCCACAAAAGTATGCCAGCTGATAAAATCCTCTACGGGATCAAGCAAGCTCCACGGCTTTCGCAGCAGCATCTTCACGGTCGTCTCGTCAGAATCGGGTTCCTACAGCTGCCGCACAACCAAGGCATGTACCGACTACAGAAAGAAAAGGGTTTTATCCTACTCATCGTCTACGTCGACGATCTGCTCTACATCGGCTCCACTACCGACATCGCCACCTGGTTTGAAGGGGAGCTGAGAAGTGACTTGACAGTCACAGTGTCTGACATCGTGACCCAGTACCTGGGTCTAAACGTCGTTGAAGGCAACTCGGCATTCTACCTACACGCTGGAAAGTACGCAGTCGTTGTCGCGAAGAAATTTGGACTAACGCCGACTACTGTCACGACTCCCTACCGCTACGGAAACAACAACAACACCTCCGCAAAACTCCCCGCGAAGCAAATCCAGTAGTATCAGCAGAAGCTCGGCTGCCTACTATTCGCAGCAGTAACTTGCCGACCGGACCTATCTTACAGCGTGAGCCAACTAGCAACGCATCTGAAGCAGCCGGAACAAGAAGATCTCGAGGAACTAAACCGGGCACTACTCTACTTCGTTTCTACGTCGACGACCGGACTTACCTACAGTAAAACAACGACATCATCCGTACAACTACTCGGATACGTCGACGCTGATCACGCGGGAGACAGGGAAAATCGACGCTCAAGGACGGGCTACATCTACCGACTAGAGCCTATCGGGACTATCTCCTGGCAGTCGAGCAAATAGGAACTAATCGCACTATCATCAGCTGAAGCAGAATATCTCGCCCTCTGCACTGCGACCAAGGAAGAACTTTACCTGCGAGAGTTGCTCGAGGAAGCAAAGATTGCAACCCTGCCCGTCTTCTCACTCTTCTGCGACAACCAACTCAGTTACTGCCCCACAACAGAAATGGCTGCAGACTACCTGACGAAGAAACTGGCGAAAGCAAAGTTCGATTACTGCATGCTACTGACCGGGCAGAAAAACGTCACCGAATCCGGACACGGCAGCACTCCAGAAACGAAGGGGAGTGTTGGAAATATCTCGAGAACTTAAGCGTTTCTGAAGTGTAACACTACACTCGAGGAAGGTCGTAACGGGTACGCGAGTCAACGGAGGTTACACGAGGGGATGGACAAAGAACACGAAAGGACTGTTAAAGTCTGAACTAGGAAGAAAAGAGGAGGCCGCCATGAAATGGCGGCCGAGGGTTTAGCTAGGAAGTTGACGAGAGTGTCGAGAGAGAAGAGAGATAGATTAGGAAGAGAGAGAGTACAAGGAGGGGTTTGTACCCTCTACAGTAAGGTTCGGTAACCTACCAAGCCTAACAATTATATAAAATATAATTTGAACACACCCCCTAGGCTTGGTAGTGGCAAGCCCACACAACCCACACACACACCCCCTAACCCCGGACACCCTCATTCTCGTGAGCAGCTGGGTATCGACCCCTCGTGCTAGGCTATGACACCCCCGGTCGAGACGCAGCTGGCCGCATCCGGGCGGCATCAATGACGACAGCGGCGGAGCTCGTTCTCAAGGCGGCTGTGTCGATGAGGACAGGCGGCGACTGCGGCGGCTGAGGGCTCTCGGCGGTGTGGCACGGGCTGGCGACGACCGAGCCGAAAACAGCAGCTACGGCAGGAGCAGGAGGAGATGCAGGGGAGGGATAGGTGGTGGGGCTGCAGGACTTCAAAGCGGCGCCGTAGGCGCGGCGCTTACTGGCGGGAGGAGGAGGCGCGACGGGGCCCAGGAGGGGCACGATGGGGCTAGGAGGCACGGCAGGGCCCAGGAGGGGCGCGACGTGGATAGGAGGCGCGGCAGGGCCCAGGAGGGGCGCGACATGGAGAGGAGGAACGGCGGAGCCGCCACGTCAGGGCGGCAAGCCCAGCACGGCTGCTCGACGTGGCAGCCATGCGACATGGCCGCCACGGCGGCACGACAGGAGCGACGAACGAACGAGAACGCAGCGGAAGGCACGTAGGGGAGCAGGCCCAGGAAGGGCGTCCCGCTCTCGATACCATGTTAAAGTCTGAACTAGGAAGAAAAGAGGAGGCCGCCATGAAATGGCGGCCAAGGGTTTAGCTAGGAAGTTGACGAGAGTGTCGAGAGAGAAGAGAGATAGACTAGGAAGAGAGAGAGAGTACAAGGGGGGGTTTGTACCCTCTACAGCAAGGTTCGGTAACCTACCAAGCCTAACAATTATATAAAATATAATTTGAACAAGGACTCGAAGGGTCGCAACTGGAGGTTGCGACTGACTGTTACAACTGCAAAGATGGTAACTGACGCGACAATCGAGTCGCTGTGCAACTCGATAACCGCTCTTTCAACTGTATTCTACAACTGCTTTACATTCCTACTTTCTATATATTGCTGTATGCTTGTTCTTTTAATCAATCACTTGTTCTCACATACTAGTACAAGGGTTCAACTATTCAACTTCCGCTGCACTACTCAAAGTCTCCTTTTACAACTGCGACGTAGTCTCTGGAAAGATCCTAAGGGCATTTTTCTCAGCCCATCAATAACAAAGGTGCCTATACACCTAAGTAGTGAAATTAAGGTCCTCACGGAGTATTGCTGGTGGGGTGGTTTCTACAGGATGTTAGGCCTGCGTTCTGTGCAGTTTTTTTTAATCTTAGATTCTCTGTAGAAAGTGGTTCTTAAATCATACGAAGCTAATGAAGGCCAAGGTCTACCATGAATGTGTGCAAACTTCATGTGAGCTGCTAATTTGTACCACATATTTGATCCGTTAATATAAAAACATGATATTTGTTTATTTAATTTCCTATTTTCTGTGCACATAGCCATGTTTTTATCATTGTGGTTTTGAACACTATAAGTTTATATTACATCTGTCACACCAAGTATATGCATGGTTTTTGTGCTGTACACTAGCTCCAGCATTCCCAAAACGCTGACTGTGGTGGAGTTCGCCATGGTGGATCATTGTGACTTGTCGACGACGGTGTCAGATTGATTTATTAGCCACTGGTCAGATCTGGGCTCCCTACCAAAGCCACCCATTAAACTCCGTTTTCGGCCCCAGTCGTACTCGTCAAAGTCCGCTTTCCGGCCAGAATCCCTCGAAACGTACGCTTACAGTCCGTTTTCGATCCAGAATCGACCCATTAACACCCGGTTTCAGAGTTTACCGAATCCATAAAAAGGGGGTTCCGGTCAAAAACGACCCGTCAAAGTAGAAATATCAGGGTAGTTCCCCGTCAAACATAGGCCCTGTTGTAGACCGTGTTGGTGGCAGAGGAGCTGCTTTTTCCCCAAAGCTGCTTTTCGTGTCGCGTCCAACTGGAAATGTAGAATTGGGGTGCTGTTCGTGGGGGTGGCTGGAGTCGCAACACAAACCACGGGTCTGGTTGGAAGGACGCTGACCATGTGGAGTCATGTCCGAGTTTTGCATGTCGAACAGTTTCCACGTGTTTCTCATCTAAACGATATACAGTAGTTGTCGACTTTGGCTCTGGCCGAACCTCGCAAATTGGGGGATCCGCCCACTTGCACTGCCTTGTCTCATTACACCGCAATTAGCGTGAGCTCAGCCTGTCAAAGGTGCCTCGTGCCACGTTGTCGAATCAAAGAGCTTCGCGCAGCCAGGTCACACCGTAATTTATGGACTAACTGTGCGGAGGTTGTCGCGTCACCACTGCTGAGCCTCTTCTGCGGAGGATGTGCTTGTGTAAAGGCGAGGTAAGATTTTCCCGCTTTTTTTCCCGTACACAGCAAAATTCAAGGCTATGGCACATTTGCGGTTCGGGCTGGTTCCGTCGCCCACGCAATCCAAATCCAATGTTTTTTCATTTCGCCGAAGCTCCCCACCCCTCCGGAACCCATCCCACCCCGATTCAACCCACGTAAAATTTGCACTTTGTCACGCTCAAAACAGGCTGCCTTTTTCAGGAGGTACATGAGTGGCTGCGGTTGTCGCGGCCTGCGTCGCTGGCACCACTTCGAGCGGTGGAGCGCCTTTCACGACAGGCTGTCAAGGGATGATCCTGCACTGTACATTTGATCGCGTCGCGGAATGAATGCTGTAGTGCACCCTGAAGGACAATGTCCCAAATCCTGTGCCTCACGCCGCAGCGTTGTGGGCGATTTAGGTGCTGCTTTTTTCCCTTTCCCATTCCTTCCCTCCGTAAAGAGCGCGTCTGAGACTCAGTTTCCGCCTTAGTTCAATTGCGAGGGAGTCTGGGACAAGTGAGCAAGCACAAACTCTCCAAGTCTAGAACCCGACACTTGCCCGACACTTGGCACTCTTTCACTCAACGTCCGGACTAGCTGTCGAGTTCCTCAGTGCAGCCTCAGTTAGCACTACGAGTACGTGAGTGCAGCAGCTCGATATCAACAGAGGAGTCCAAAATTGAAGTTTATTCAACGCAGCTACAGCTTCACTCGCTCTGTCTTCACAATTGCCGGAAACATTGTTTATTCTTCACAGGTTAGCTTACTTCTCCGATCGTCATGGGCATCGGTGGGTCTAAGGCGGCGCATTTCACTGGGAATTTCCCCAGCTTCAAGCGCGCCAGGAAGCTGAGCTCCAAAGTTGCGCACGCCATGATCAGCCGATCGAAGTCCGTGGACAGCCGCTTCGCGCACATCCCCGACTCGGGACGCTTCTCCGTCGAGTCGTACCCGCTCTCGTTCCCGCGATCCGCGTCGGATATAATGACGGCTTATCCTCGGTCGGAGTCGGATAAGATTACGGCTTATCCGCGATCGGAGTCGGAAAATTTAGCGGAGCCGTACCCTCGATCGGTATCGGACAAGATTATGGATCCCTCTCCTCGATCGGAGGCCTACTACCCGCGATCCGATTCGGATAAGTTAATGGAGCCGTATCCGCGATCCGAGTCGGATAGAATTATTGAGGCGTACAGCGCCACGGACTGCAGCTCGCCGTGCACGCCGCGGCTGCTGCTGGAGTGGCAGCACCGCATCGGGGACGACTACTTCGACGAGGCGCTCGAAATGGAGTTTTTCGAGCGCGATAACGAGGCCGATAACAGCGAGTACGAGGGGAGCGGAGGCAATCCGGGCAACGACGGGTGCAACGCGTGCACCGGCGCTGAAACGACGGGCTCGGGGAGGGAATACGCGAAGGGGTGCTCCGCTGCGCCGGTTTCAGTCTTGGCGATGCGATCGGAAGCCGTTGCTGAGGATCGGCGAGTTATCGTGAATCGGATGCTTGGCTCGGTGCCGTCGTACGTCGTCGTCCAGTCGTAACGGCTCACGGGCGACAGGCGACAGAAGCCGCAGCAGCGTTGCAGCCGTCTGAGGTGCGTGTTCCAAAAGGGACCGACTCCTCCGCGACAGACGCCGAGGAATCGCAGCAACGTCGCAACTGTCGCAACTGTCGCAGAAACGCTGATTCTTGAGAGGCGCGTGTTCCAAAAGGAACTGACTCCTCCGCCTCCGTTGCTTGCGCCAGGACTTCTGTCCCGGCGCTTCTTACTAACAGAGTGTGCTACTAACGCAGGATCATGTGCTACTGGCTCAGTAACGTGTGCGACTGACATAAGGGCATGTGATACTAACACTTCATCAGGTCCTGCTGTCACACGCATAGAGGTTGTTTACATGCAGGGGGGGCTAGGGCTTGGAAGTTAGGGGTTTTTTATCTAGGGGATTTTTCTGGCCAAGGCTCTTACCAGTCCGTGCAAGGACCCTACGTGCATGGAGCTGCTGTCAAAATAGGGAGGCATGTAGCCATGAAATAAATGTTTGAAATCATCTCTAGTACAACATGAGAGGACACCTAAACCTCAAACCTGAAGAAGGAACATTCCTCATACTCCAACAGAAACTTTGCAACACTCATGCCAAACCCTTATTCTCCACTCCTCCCATACGGTATCTCCTCAGTAAGCAGCCACTAGTAATTCATCCATCCTATCAACCCCAACTTGCCCTAGCCTGACCGACCAACCAGTGACCCCCCCTCTAGTCCTCCACCTCTGCAAAAATAACCTTGATCCACTGCTCATTGTACTCTACTCTTCCCCACCCACCCACGCTCCCATTCCCTCAACCCCCACCCACCCGTTTGGCAATAACCTCCTGGATCTGCTGCTGGTTGTACTCTAAACCCTAAACCGATCCACACCATCACCTGGAAATCTCTCCACTCCACAAACGCACCACCATAATCACTCTCCAAACACCTTACCCGTCGGGCCGTCCCCTCTACTATAATCTTCCAGCTCGGCAATGACCACCTGGTTCACCTGCTGATTGTACCGGTATTCCCATCCCATCCACTCAGCCCCGACCGACTCTCCCTTGCCCGACTGACCCTCTCTAGGCAGCTGCTGCTAGTACCGGTACTCCATTTCCTAAACCCTTAATGATTTTTTACTGACTAACCCCCCTCTAGTCCTCCACCTCGGCAATGATCTCCTTGATCAGCTGCTGCTTGTAATCCTCGAAGCTCCCCGGAAACTTCTTCGTCGTGCCGTCGTCAACAACCCAGATCTCGGCCCTCTCCTCGTCGTCGCACACCCGGGAGATCAGCCGCGAGTCATGCGACACCAGCACCACCCCTCCCGTGAACTCATCCAAAGCGTCTGCCAGTGCGTCGATACTCTGGAGGGGAAGAGAGCACAATTGGCAGAAGCGGGCAAGTGGAGCATATACTAAGCCGCAAGTCATTAGACACCACCGCCACTCCTCCCTGTGAACAAGTCCAGCGCGTCTGCTAACGCATCAAAGCTCTGTAAAGGGGATAAGATTGGCAGGCGTAGACAGAATAAATGAATCTACACTCCTGTCTGTCCGGCAGAATGTGTCAATACTCATGTCAGTTGTACGGAAGCATACATGGTGAGGCCATACAGATGGTTCGCGGGTTCATCCATCCATCCATCCATCCATCCATCCAGCAGCAGAGTATGCGGCTTCCCAATGCTGACAGCCTTCCACATCCATTCTCTGATAGCTTCACCAAGCCACGAGAGAATGCAAGCGGCAAAGATAGAATGCCCAGAGAAAGATAGAAAGGGAACAGAGTGCTCACATGCCTGCCTGCCTGCTACAGTCACCAGCACACACCTGCATGTCCACATGGTTGGTCGGTTCATCCAGCAGCAGTATGTGCGGCCATGCCATGCTGATAATTGGTGACTTATAGGTACATACCAAACGCACCAGCAGACTTGCACTAGTCACCAGCACACACCTGCATGTCCAGATGGTTGGTCGGCTCGTCCAACAGTAGTCGGTGCGGCCGGGCCATGCTGATAGCCGTGAACACCACCCGGGCCTTCTGCCCCCACTCAGCTTGAAGTGCCTCAGAACTAAAGAAAAAAAAGGCGGGCATACCTGCATGAGACATCAGCACACACCTGCATGTCCAGATGGTTGGTGGGTTCGTCCAACAGCAAAATGTGCGGCCGCGCCATGCTGATAGCCGTGAACACCACCCGGGCCTTCTGCCCCCACTCAGCTTGAAGTGCCTCAGAACTAAAGAAAAAAAAGGCGGGCATGCCTGCATGAGACATCAGCACACACCTGCATGTCCAGATGGTTGGTGGGTTCGTCCAACAGCAAAATGTGCGGCCGCGCCATGCTGATAGCCGTGAACACCACCCGGGCCTTCTGCCCCCCACTCAGCTTGAGTTGAGGTGCCTCAATACCAGGAGATTGACAGCCGGGCTTACCTGCACTAGTCACCAGCACATACCTGCATGTCCAGATGGTTGGTGGGTTCGTCCAACAGCAGTATGTGCGGCCGCGCCATGCTGATAGCCGTGAACACCACCCGGGCCTTCTGCCCCCCGCTCAGCTTCACAATCGGCGTCAGGTGGTTGTGGCTCGGCAGCCCAAACTTCCCAAGCCTGCTCCGAACCGCCTCCTGCCGGCTCGGGCCCTCCTGGTTCGGGTACAGCCGCAGCAAGTACTCCACGGGGGTCTCATCAAACGCCAGAAGGTCCACAAAGTGCTGAGAATACCTCCCGATCCTCAGCTTCTGGCTTTGTCTAGACTCCCCCTGCGTCGGCTGCAAATCCCCGGCCAACAAATTCAGCAAAGTCGATTTTCCTGCGCCGTTCGGCCCGACTATAGCCACCCGCGTGCCCATGTCTATCCCCACATCCACCTCGGAGAGTGCGAAATCCGGGCGGTTGGGGTAGGAGAAGCAGACTTCCTTGAGTTGCAGGAGGGGCGGGGTGAGTTCAGTGGGCTCTGGGAAGTGGAACTCGACGGCGTAGTCGCGCCACCGCTTGGGGGCTTCGGCTGGCGTGTCGTCGTCCGCGTCGCCTGCTGAGCTGGCGCTCTTCTTGCCGCCCTTCCTGGCCTCTTTCTGTGCGTTGAATTTCGCCCGGTCTTTCACCTGGGAGAGGCAAACGGGTTCAGGTTGCAGTGCGAAAAGTGTGAGTAAAAGGTGCTGAGGTGGCACTCTTCTTGCCACCCTTCCTGGCCTCCTTCTGTGCGTTGAATTTCGCTCGATCCTTCACCTGAGATTGTAGGGGGGGTGGGGGGGGGGTTTAAGTTGTGGCATGTGGAAACGCATGAGTATAAGTGCAAGTGCGCTTGTGCGTCGCCTGGTTACCAGCTCTCACCTTGTCCTGGTTACCAGCCCTCACCTTGTCCTGGTTACCAGCCCTCACCTTGTCCTGGTTACCAACAGCTCTTACCTGGACAAAGTTACCACCACTAGTGGTTACACGTGATTACCAGGTTACCAGCGCTCATCTTATCTTATCCTGGTTCTGTCAGTTCCCTGACCGCTTGGCCGCCTTGAGCTGCTTCTCGTACACCTCAAACTTCTTGTTGTTCTCCCGCCCTACGGTTACCAGCTCTCATAATTACGTGGTTACCAACCACTCGCAATTTGGTTACCCAATTACCAGGTTACCAGCGCTCACCTTGTCCTGGTTCTGCCTGTTCCCCGACCGCTTGGCCGCCTTGAGCTGCTTCTCGTACACCTCGAACTTCTTGTTGTTCTCCCGCCGCTTCTGCTCGTACATCTCCTCGAAGCCCTCGAAGTTGCCCTAAAAGTAAGAGCAGGGGGAAGAGGGGGGGGGAGGGGGGGAGGGACAGTGAGCTGAAGACATACTTCGCATCCGCGTCTGCTCGTACATCTCCTCGAAGCCGTCGACGTTGTCCTGAAAGGAAGGAGGTGGCGGGAAGAGGGAAGGGAGACGAGCAGGTGTGTGCTGAGTCGACTCAAAACACACCTCGACGGCGGGAAGAGGGAAGGGAGACAAGCAGGTAGATGATATCCGTGCACACGGAGCCAAGTCGGTACTTATCCGCGTTTAAAGCCCCCTCGAAACAATCACACAAACAGCCGCTCCTCTCGTCGTACAGGTGGATATCCGTGCACACGCAGTCAAGAAAGTCCGTATCAGCGATATAGAGCGCCTTTCTAACAGAAGATAAGACGTTACCTTATAGAAGAACAGTTTCTCGTCGTGCAGGTGGATGATATCCGTGCACACGGAGTTCAGGAAGTCCCGGTCGTGCGACACGACGATTAAAGTCTTCTTCCACCGCATCAAATACTCCTCCAGCCATAGGACTGCCCTAAGATCCAGGTGATTAGTAGGCTCGTCCAATAGCAGCAGCGTCGGCTGCACGTAAAGCGCGCGCGCGAGGGAGATCCGCATCCGCCACCCCCCGGAGAACGACTTGGTCGATCGCGCCTGCATCTCTTTCGTAAACCCCAAACCCGCCAGGATTTTCGACGCGCGCGCTTCCGCCGCCTCCGCGCCTATCTCGCGCATCTCGTCGTACACGTGCGCGAGCTTCTCGCTCGCCGTCGCCTCGTCTTCCTCCTCCGCTTCCGCAGTTGCCGCTGCGGCGGCTGCAGCTGCAGCTGCTGCTGCCTGACTGGCCTTCTTTTTCGCTTTCCCTTTCGCCTTCGCAGTCGTTGCGCTCTCGGTTGTAGCAGCATCTGCCGTTCCTTCTGCCGTCTCTGCACCTCCCCCCTGATTTGCCCCTTCTTTTCCCTTCTCTCCCTCCCCTTCCGCGTGCGAGTATTTATCCAAGATCGCACGTAACCGCGCTTCTTCCTCGCGCAGCTTCACGAGCTTCTGATCCGCAGTCACGACAGCTTCTAACGCGGATCTTTCGTCCCCGACCACCTCCTGCTCCACCAATAGCACGTCGATGCCACGTGGCACCGGCAGCTGCCGCCGCGCCAGCAGTTTCATAACCGTCGACTTACCCTTGCCGTTAGGACCTACTAAACCGTACCGCCGCCCGTGAACGATAGTTAGCGACGCGTTCCTAAATAGTTCCTTTCCGCGCGCTGAGACCGAGAAGTTCTCCACTTTAATATCGCGCACGTTCGCGTCGGCCGCAGAACCCGCCGCGGTTCCCGCCGCGCCGTCCGCGTCGTCCGCGGCGTCCATATCCGCGACTCGGGACCCGAGAGTGACGGAGAACGCGTTAGCATCGTCGGCTTTAAGAGCCTCCTTTCGCGCCTCCTCCTGGGCTTGCTCAAGCATTTGCTCCTTCTCCTTCTTTTTCTTCGCTTGTTTATCCGACATCTGCAGATTCCCCATCCCCGTTACAAGCCCGCGGCCCCTCCCCGCCTTGGCTCCGCCGATATCGTCATCCTCAACGAACTCCCCGTCATCTCCGCCGTCGATTATGTCTTCCTCCTCGTCATCGGACGGCGGGAGATCGACGCCCGCGAGATAATCGTCTTGCGGCTTCTTGCTCGGGGGAGCGCGCGATTTCTTCCCCCCCCCGCCGCCGCCGCCGCCGGAAGAAGCGGCGGACGGCTTTTTCTCCCCTTTGCCCTTCTCCTCGACCACAATGCTGCTGACGGAAAACTTTTTCCGGTCCGCGGCAGCCGGCTTTCCGGAACCTGCTTTACCGCCTTTGCCACTCGTCCCGCCAGCGGAATCGCCTTTCTTGGGAGCCATGGCAGGGAGATATGGCGAAACGCGAGATGTGCGAAACGCGAGATGTGCGAAACGCGTTTGTCACAAAACACGCTAAAAACCGACAGACCAAGATATGCGAAAATGCAGTTCTAGTTTAGAATCTGCTGACGACGACCGGGTTTGCGATGCGACGTTCTCTGGTCTGTTCGCATGGATAATGGGAGACGTATAACCCAAGGAACTTGGTTGAAGGATCCCCGACAAGAATAGGCTAAATTCTTGAGCGGAATAAGGACCTCTTGATTCTCCAAGTTTGCTTGGGCTGGAAGGCAGGCTGGCTGTCTCCGATAAAACGGTCGGTCACATGCTAAAAGCGAGGATGCGGCATCCCCGATGGCTGTGGCGGAATCCAAAAGCGCGGATGGCAGCCACAATCTGGTTGCCACGCGGCAGAACCAGATGAGGTGGCGCAGCGCTACGGGAGAAACTCTGTAAAGTGTTCCAAGGCAGCTGGAGGTTTTATATTACGTTACACAAAATTAAGATGCGTAAGTAATTAGAATTAGACACAATACATCTCTGCTTTATGTACCGTCACTCTTCAAAAGACCGTGCAATCATGCAGGGATGTTATGGTCTTGAAGAAGCTCCTTAAAGGCATGTGACATCCTGGGTACAGCATCAAGCAATGCAAGTGGGACATGGTTGGATCCCATGTTAAAATGTTGAGAAACATGCACCAGGAAGAGAGAAGAAAAAAGAGTCACCATGATAATTCCTTCATCCACAGGTGGTGGAATCATATTGACACAAGGGGTAAATGGCCCGTGCCTTCAGTAAAGGTGGTCAAGGAGCAGAGGGGGAAACCGTGACACGTCCCACACATGTAACAGAGTAACGAAAACAACCCTTGCTACGCATGGGGAAAAGCAATAACGAGGCCCTTACCTCCAGGGGAGGTGGTCGAGGAACATGGAGGGCGACACCACCATGTCTCGCAGCGACTCCCTCGGAATAAACAATACGTGGTGGCGCGACGAGGCAAAGGGGTTGCCTGCCAGCGACCGGAACGTCTCCAGGAGCCCCGGCCTGGCTGCTGCCGCCTCCAGCACCTGCTCCTCCTGGGAACCCCCCACAACCCCCGCGACCTCTTGCAGTATCTTGTGTCCGTTCTCATCAGGTCCTTCTTGCGTCCCTCTGTCACTCTTCTGTGTCCTTCGATCCCGTCCGGCCCGTCCGTCCCGTCCATCCCGTCCGTCACTTCCGTCTCTCTCCCCCGATACTACACCACTCTCCCAGGCTGTTGCACCAGCGTCCCCCAGACCGTGTCTCGTTACACTCGTGCTGCCGCCTGCTTTGCTACCAGCTCCTGCCTCGCAGTGCAGCCAGTCGTCGCCGCTCTGTCTCACTCCTTCTGCGTTACCGTCACCTTCGATAATATAAATGTGGACCGCGCCACTATTGCGCAAACCAGTCCTCGATGCATCAGCCTCAGCGATTTCCAAAGACCTCGCAGAAACCTCTGCCTGTTTGCTTGCCCCTCCTCCCCCTTTCCTCGCGCTCCCCTCCTCCTTCCCACCTGGCATGCCACCCTCTTTCCCCCCACCTCCTCCTCCCTCCCCGCTCCTCGGGGTTGTCGCTGCCGCTTTCCTCCGCATGCTCACTGCTGCTGACGTGGCAGGCCTGACCTCCTCCCTCACTATATGCACAACCTTGCCCATCACATACACCTCCCCTGGGAACTCCTGCTCCTGCTCCACCAGCCAAGCCGGCCGGCTGGCACTAGCACTCCTGCCATGCACCGCCCCCCCGCTGGCGCTCCTCCTTGCGTTCTCTCCAGTAGCAGCAGCAGCAGCAGCAGCAGCAGCGGCAACCCCTCTGCTGAATCGTTTGCTCCCACCACCACCCCAACCACCACCACTGCTGCTTCCCCCACTGCTGTCCTCTGCTATATCAGCTGCTGCTTCTGCTGCTGCTGCAGCCACGTCGTTGGCGCTGCTGCTGCGGCGGGGGACGCGGGATAAGAGGGAGAGCGCCCCGCGCATGCGCACTTGCTGCACGGGCGGGCGCATGTCGTGCGACGCCAATGCACGTGGCTGTTGAGACGTCGCGGAATGCGTTGGCGGGCGCGCATGATTCCCTTCGCTAAGGGACTCCTCACCAGCGACAGAATCGGTTGAACGACCAGCAGCAGCAGCAGCAGCAGCAGCAGCAGCAGCAGCAGCAGCAGCAGCAGCAGCAGCAGCAGCAGCAGCAGCAGCAGCAGCAGCAGCATCAGGAGCACCAGCGGAAGAGAAAGCAACACCAGTGGTGGTGGCAGCAGCAGCAGTGGCGGCGGCAGCAGTAGCAGGAGCAGCAGAGGCAACCGCCACTATGAGTGATGGTTCTTGGTCTGTCCCACTCGGTCCCCTCCCATCGGTGTCCCCTCCCCCTCCAGCAGCACAGTTGCCAGCACGCACTGCGGGGAGGGACGCAGGGGCGGCAGTGGCAGGGAGGGGAGGAAGATGGCTTGAGTGAGCAGTGAGGGCAGGAGGAGCAGCAGGAGTAGGAGCATCAGCATCAGCATCAGTAGCAGCATCCGCAGGAGCACCAGCAGCAGCAGTAGCAGCGCCAGCAGCACCAACGCCAGCAGCACCAGCGCCAGCAGCCACAGCATCAGCAGCAGCAGCAGCAGGAGGAGCAGCAGCAGCATCTGCATGTTGAGGCGCCTCGGAATCCTGCGGAGGGAGCTCGATCTTGGTCCTGCAGTGCCCGTGCCTGCTGGCCGATACAACAAATCCAGCCACCCCAGACACCAAGAACCACGCCCCTTGCACCTCGTGCGCTGACTTCACCCACGGACTGCTGCCGTTACTGCTGCTGCTGCTGCTCCTGCTGCTGTCACTGCTGCGATTGCTACTGCTACTACCCTTTCCCCAAGAGCTGCTGCTGCTGCTGCAAATACTGCTGCTCTGCCCTGCCACTCTCCCTTGCCTGGCTTCGCCTACCCCTGCTCCTGCTCCCTGCTCCCAGCTGTTTCCAGCATGTGGCTCAGGGGGGTGTGATTCCTTGACTGCAGGTTTGCTGCTGCAAATACTGCTGCTCTGCCCTGCCATTTCCCCTTGCTTGACTTCGCCTTCTCCTGCTCCGGCTCCTCCTCCTATCTTCGAGCTGTTTCCTGCCTGTGACGCAAGGGAGTGTGTGGGTAGTGATGGCACTGTACCAGGTGCCACTGTAGCAGGTGCCACTGTAGATTCTGCCCCTGCGGATCCCCCCGATAAGTTATCCAGTAAATCCCCAGCAGCCTTGACTCCACCTGACTCCTCAACGATCTCTGCTGCTCCTCCTCCTCCTTCTGCTGCTACTGCTATTCCTCTTGCTGCTCCTCCTCTTGCCAAACCACCTGAACCTACCGAGCTTCTAGCAAAGGAAGTATCGGAAAATGACCTGCGAAGGATAGGCTTGGTTCTAGGTTTGGAAGAACCAGCATTAACCCCGCCTACAGAAGATCTCTCCATACCAGCCCTCTCCTCTTGCAACTGTGGCTCGTCATCCACCTCCTCTACTCCCTCTAACCGCTCTCCACTGCTCCTCATACTACTCTCCCCCACAACCCTCCCTTTCGTTCCTTCCCTGTCGCCCCCCTCCTCCCTCTTCTCGCCCCTATCCCCCCCTCTCCTCCCTCCCCACTTCCCCCAGAGGTGTTTCCTCCGCTGACGTGGCATGACGTTCTCTCTAAGCCAATCCCGTGCGTCCTTGCCCCCCTTGGCTTGGGCGTAATCAATGAGAGATGCATAGTCCTCTTTGGCGTATCCTGTCAGCCTAGAGCCGCCAGCAGCAACAGCACCCACACCAGCAGCAACCACTGCACGACTCGCACCAGGAGCAGCACCAGCACCAGCACCAGCACTAGCAACAGCGCCAGCAACAACAGCACCAGCACCAGCAGGTGCTGCATAACTACCATCGACAGCACCAGCAGCACCAGCACCACCAGCACTGGCGCCAGCACCAGCACCAGCAGCACTTTGAAGTCTATTAGCACTAGGGAGTATGCCCAGGCCTTTCCACTGCCTTGGCGTGTGCACCCCGTGCCTTAACAGCTGCTCCGGCTCCTCCTCCTCCCGCTGCCCCCAGTGTCTGTGGAAGGGAAAGCGGTGCTGGTGGGTGGAGAGGTGCGCGGCGTGGTGCAGTGCGGTCTGCGCAGAATGCGTGGCAGCAGAAGCAGCAGAGGCGGCAGCAGAAGCGGCTGATGCTGCAGCAGTCAGAGCGAAACTCGCCATCCGTTGCAGTTTCTGCTTGCCCTGCTCTTCCTGCTCCTGCTGCTGCTCCTGCTCCCCCTGACTTGGGATCCCGAACCCTGATTCTGGCACTACTAATCCTCCTCCGTCCCCCACCCCACCCAACTCTTTACCTGCATCTCCTCTGCCTGCTCCAAAAGGCAGTGTGAAGAGCCGAGACAGCAGCCGATCCACAGCCACTGCCCTCATCCCACTCCTGGCCTGAGCGCCCGGCCCCATGGCGGCTACAGCCGTGCCTAGGAGTCCCCCTGCGCGGGTGTCTGCAGCAACGGCTCTGAGGGCTGCTGCTCTGAGGCGCATGACAGACGCCACTGAGGTTCGTGGGGAGAATTCATCGTTGTACACAAATCTGTTAGGGGTTGGATGGGGGGTTTGGTGCGCAAGGTAAGGTGAGGGGAAAGATATAGCTGTGCCCAGCAGCCCCCCGCAAGAATGTCTGCAGCGACCACTCTGAGGGCTGCTGCTCTGAGCGCTGCTGCTCTGACGCGCATGACAGAGGCGACTGATGTGCGCGGGGAGAACTCGTCGTTGTACACAAAGCTGAAAGGGGGGAGGGGAGAAGGGGGATGGGGATGATGCATGGGGGAATCCGTCAGAGCCATGCGGCATGGCTAGTTTTGAGGCGCCTCAAAACAAGCCGTGCGGCATGGCTTAGGTTAGGTGTCTGCAGCAACGGCTCTGAGGGCTGCTGCTCTGACTGAGGCACGTGACGGAGGCGACTGATGTGAGCGGGGAGAACTCGTCATTGTACACAAAGCTGTGAAGATGGGGGAGAGGGGGGGTTTGTGGGAAGGAACCGAGTTAAGATGTCTGTGTGTGAGCTGCTAGCACTGCACTAGGTCCACCCTGGGCGTCTGGAGGTAAGGACTGCTAGTCGCTAGCAGTGCACTGTGATGGAGGTTGTGGTGGAGTGGGTCAACCCAATGAGATATGCTAAGCAACGGATGGTAAGCATGCACTAGTCAGCCAAAGAGTGTAAGGAGGTTCTTGCTTAGTTAAGCACTGACGTGGTGATGAAGTTGGAGCAGGCAGAAGCAGTGGCGAAGTCAACACAGGGCATGGACCCGTAGCCGATCGCCCTCACTTCTGGGAAGCGCTTCCGTAACTGCAGAGAGAGGAGGAGAGAGGGACAATAAGGCAGCACTGACGAAGTTGGAGCAGGCAGAAGCAGGGGCGAAGTCCACACATGGCATGGGCCCGTAGCCGATCGCCCTCACTTCTGGGAAGCGCTTCCACAGCTGCATGGCGTGAAGGGAATGAAAGAGGAGGTGGTGAGCGAATGGGGTAAGGACCTAGGAGGACTAAGGCAGCAGTGGCGAAGTCAACACAGGGCACGATTTTTCAGGCACCAACGGAAAAGGGAATGAAAGACGAGGAGGTGGTGAGAGCATGGGGTAAGGACCTAGGACTAAGGCAGCAATGGCGAAGGCACTTCTGTGGCCTACCGCCCTCACTCACCCTGGTAGCAGTCAGGCTGCACAAAGCCCTGGCCCCCGCCCATGGATTACCCCATAAGCTACACACGATGACCCCCTCCAACACTAGGTTACCGCACTCCACACCTTCTCTCTCACCCGGATAGCTGTGAGGCTGCACACAGGACCACCCACAAGGTGACCACCCCCACCCCACACTTCATTACCGCTCTCCACCCCTTGTCACTCACCCGGATAGCTGTGAGGCTGCACACAGCACCACCCATGGAGTGGCCCACTAGTCGCAGCCCATACCCCTCGCACTCACCCCCCTCCCCCAGCAGCTCGGACAGGATCCCTGGAGCATGGAGGGAGTGGGGGAAATGGGAAGAGAAAATAAAGGAGACAACTTGGCTCATACCCCTCGCACTCGCCCCCTTCCCCAGCAGCTCGGACTCGGACAGGATCCCCGGGGCGTGGCGGGAATACGAGGGGAGGAAAGAAGGGAGTTTGAGGTTTTCCTAGGGGCGCCTGCACCCGCTGCACATGCCACCTTCCCCTAGGAGTTCAGACAGGATCCTTAGCAATGGCGCAGAGGGTCAGTGGGACGGAAAAGTTGGGAGGGTTTGGTGTTTGAGTGGAAGGCCGTACCCCTCGCAATCCCCCCGTCCCCCAGCAGCTCGGACAGGATGTGTGGGGCATGGTGGGGATGCAAGGGGAAAGAAGCGGGGAGTTTAAGGCCCCCCCCGTACCCCTCGCACTCGCCACTTTCCCCTAGGAGTTCAGATTAGATCCCCTAAGAATGGTAAATCAGGTTGAAGGAGAGGGGGGAAGGGAGTTTCTTTGAAGGCAAAGTACGAAGGGAGGGGGGAGGAAGGCGGGTTGACGTAGGCATGGTGGTACGAAGGAAGACGGGTTTTGAGTCGACTCAAAAGAGGAAGACGGGTTTTGAGTCGACTCAAAAGAGGAAGACGGGTTTTGAGTCGACTCAAAAGAGGAAGACCGGTTTTGAGTCGACTCAAAAGAGGAAGGCGGGTTGACGTAGGCATGGTGGTACGAAGGAAGACGGCTTAGCCCATGCACCTTGCACTTTCGGCCCTGTTTCTCCTTCGGCTCAAGCAAAGACGCCTCCAACTCACACGTTTTGGTGGGCGTCAACTGGTACATCCTTTGCTGCTGCTAGCACAAAGATCGATCTCCTTTCGAGGTGCCTAAAACATAGACACCTCTGCCTCGCACGGCTTGAATCCTTTGAGGCATCGACTGGCGAATCCTTTGTTGCTACTGCCAACAAAAACGCGTCTCACCTCTCGCTTTCTTCTTCTCCTTCCGCCCCAGTAACGACCCCTCCTCTTCATCCCCACCTCCCCCATCCTCCACTCTCTCCCCTCCTGCTTTACCCTCCTCCCCTCCCCAGTCCCCCATGTTGTCCAACTGTAACGCCAGGTCCCTTGCTGCTGTCACCACCCCCGCATGCCCAAAGTAGGGCACCAGCCTGTCGCTTGTTGATGGGCGCTGGAGCTCCGACCTGGGGGGGGTGAGGGAATAGTGGGGAGCAGAAGCACGAGTGCAATGGAGAACCAACCTGTCACTTGTTGATGGGGGATGGAGCTCCGATCTGAACTTGGGATGGGGAGGGGGAGGACTTGAGCCCTTGTACCATGTGGGGTTGGAGTGCGGACCAGATCCCTAGCTGCCACCACCACCCCTGCGAGCCCAAAGTAAGGCATCTTTCTGTCATTTGCTGGTGGAGGCTGGAGCTCCGACCTAGGAAGTCAAGGGAAGGAAACGCCGACCTAGGAAGTGAAGGAAAGGAACCGAAAGGCCAGGGGAAAGGGGCACAGTGATGCTAGACTAGACTGAGCCCCACGTCCCCTGCTGCTGATGCCATCTGCTGACCCCCGCATGCCCAAGGTCGGGGACTAGCCCGTCACACGCCAGGGGGGGGTGCAGCTCAGTCGTGGAGGCGGGCAGGGGTGGGGGGGTGGGGGGGGGAATAGTGGGCCAGAGGAAGAGAAGTGAGGAAGATCCCTTGCTGCTGCCACCACCACAGCACGGCCAACGAACTAGACCGACTACAGTCATACCATATTCCCTAGAGACCCCGAGCCCACTCTGAGAGTGTCAGCAGGTTTTTAATGAACTCTGGACGATAGAAGATTTGTTTTGAGACGTCTCAAACGAAATCTTCTACCCCGAGCCTAGCGCTCTGAGAGTGTCAGCAGGCTATTAATGAATTCGAACGGTTGTCACTCACCGCTTGACATCCCCCATATCAGCGTGAGAGAGGAGTCTATTTTTGAGGCGCCTCCAAAATGATGAATTCTAACCGTTGTCACTCACCTCTCGACATATCATTAATGGATCGAACGGTTGACATCCCCCATATCAGCGTGAGAGAGCGGATACTCCCTCCATAGTACGTCCAAATCATGTCCTCAAGCGTCTCCGCATCTCTCACTGCCACCACCACCAGCCATGGACACCGCCAGGCACCACCACCGCCAGGCACCACCACCATCAGGCACCACCACTGCCAGGCACCACCACCACCAGGCACCATCACTGCAGCTGTCGTGGCATCATCACCTGTCATGCACTCACCTTGCGATGCCTGCCATGTCAGCATCGCTCAGAGGACACTCCCTCCCCAGCCCGTCTATGATCATGTCTTCTAGCGACTCCGTGCCTCTCACTGCCACCACCACCAAGCGCAGCTGATGCAGCACCACCACGAAGTACACCGCCTGCCCCGCTGCTTCCTGTTGAAGGTGTAAGATAGACACATAAGGAGAGGAAGAGAGGGAAGACAGTCAGCGCCGGGAGCATGGGATGGTGGTTCGTTAGAGGCACATCTTGCCACCACCACCAGGCGTAGCTGATGCAGCACCACCACGAAGTACACCGCCTGGCCTGCTGCTTCCTGTGGGTGAGAGAACAGGGGAGATGAGAGGAAAGGAGGGAGAACCAAACACGATTCAAGAGGAACAACCACCAACAGCCGCAGCTGATGTAGGCACAGCACCGCCACGAAATACACTGCTTAGGCCCGCTGCCTCCTGCACGTGAAAGAACAGGGGATAGGGTGGGATAGAGGAGAATCAAACACTGTTTAAGAGCGCCCCCCCCCCCCCTTCCCCCCCTCCCCGCAGCTGATGTAGGCAGAGCACCGGCACGAAACACAACACACTGCCTGCCCTGCTGCTCCCTGAAAGGGTACACCGGACAAAGGTGGGGTTGCGAAGAGCGGAATCAAGAGGTGGGTAGGTACACACCCTGCTTTACTTGGGTACACACCCTGCTTTACTCGGGTACACACCCTGCTTTACTCGGGTACACACCCTGCTTTACTCGGGTACACACCCTGCTTTACTCGGGTACCCCGCTTTGAAGCCGGTACACACCTGACCCAACACCAGCGTGACCAACTCCTGCCTTGAGGGCCAGTGGGAGGGAGGTACTACATTTCACCCAGCAGTACTCACCTGTCTGCCCCGCGCCTTTCTGAGGGCGGATGGGGAAAGGTGGAGGTACTTTAGAAAGGCCGACCTATGCACGGCCTGCCTTCATCCCAAGCGGACACCATTTGCGTTTATCCCATCCCATGCCTGTCACAGCCACCACGCACCTGTCACAGCCACTGCGCACCTGTCACAGCCACCACGCACCTGTCACAGCCACCACGCACCTGTCTGACCCGCGCCTTTCTGAGGGCGGATGGGGGAAGGTGGAGGTACTTTAGGAAGGCCGACGCATGGCCCCTCCACCAGTTGTCACCTTGCAACGCGGGGTACCTGTGACAAGGGAAGGGGGACATGTGCAAGGTTTTAGCAAGCAGATTCAAAGAAGAACATATTCAGGACAGAACGCACGCAGCCCATTACCAGCCGTATTCTTGCCTGGGACGATGCGTCTTAACGGGTGTTCTGTACCTTAACTACTGACATCGACCGTACGTACCTGTAATGCTGGCATGGACCATACCAGAAACGCTGGCATGGGCCGTACCTGTAACGTTGCCATGGACCATACCTGTAAATCTGTCATCTTGGACCATACCGTACCTGTACTGCTGCCATGGAAAGAACATGCCTTGCCTCCACACCCATGCACATGCAAAGGTGAACGGGTAGCGGCCGATATCCAACAGTGGACCCTGCAGAAAGGGGAGATGGAGTGAGGGTGGGATGGGAAAAGGGGGAAAATGAGGGAGGGCGGGGCGGAGTAACTTTTGATTGAATCGACTCAAAAGTCAACAAGCACAAGCAAAGGTGAACGGGTAGCGGCCAATATCCATCAACGGACCCTGCAGAACAGAGAGAGAGGCAGAAGGGGGGAGAGGGAGCAGCAGGCCGGAGGACGGAGGTGGGGGGGGAGGGAAGGGGGGAGAAAGAGTGGTGTAGTGTAGGAGAAAGGTTAGTGGCCAAGGAGAGAGTGGAGGGGAAAGGGAGAGAGTGAGGGAGGAAGGGGATGGGAAGCCTAGAGGGGGATAGGGAGAGGGGGCGAACGAGTGGCAGGCGGGAGAGGGGAAGTAGGAAAAGAGGCATGGGGTGTAGGGAGTAGGGAGTAGGGTGTAGGGAGTGAGGGAGAGAAAGGAGAGATTGGTGGGGGGAAGAGAGAATTGAGGGAAGGGGTGAGTGAGGAAGGACAGGGGTAACAGCACACAGTATAGGCAGCAAATGGCAAGGGGCAGCAGGGCAGCTGCCTCTTCAATCAACCCCAGCACAGGGGCAGGCTGTGAGAAACACATTCCCTCCTCCATCACCCTTCTATTAAGGCGCCCAGAAAGCATGTAGCACACTGACCGTGTAGGCAGCTATAGCAAGCGGCAGCAGGGCAGCAGCCTCTTCAATCAAGCCCATCGGCACAGGGACAGGCCGGGAGGTAAAAGGACCCCCCTCCATCGCCCTCTCACTGCTGCTGCTGCTGCTCCCCTCATAGCCAACACTCTCTGCTCCAGTGTTCCTCTCAATGCCTCTTGCGGTGCTGCCTGTGGCGCTGCTGGTGGCAGTGGTGCTGTTGATGCTATCAGCGTCCAAGGCGTCGAAGGCAGAGGGTGGAGGGGTGGAGGAGAGGAGGGTGGATGCGGTGGTGGCTGGGAGTGTGTCAAGATGGGTGGAGTAAGAGGAGGAGGAGGTGTGGGTGGTGACAGGTGGTAGCGGGCGACTGGATTGCAGGAGAGCTAGTCCTGCATGGCATGGCATGGCATGGCATGGACGGAGGATGCAAGGGGTGGGGTGGTAGCATGGCGTGTGGATGCATGGGTTGAATGCATGGGGTGCATGGGTTGAATGCATGGGGTGCATGGGTTGGATTGAAAGCATGGGGTGTGGATGCATGGTGTGGATGCATGGTGTGGATGCATGATGCGGGTGCATGGTGTGGATGCATGGTGCGGATGCATGGTGTGGATGCATGGTGCGGATGCATGGTGTGGATGCATGGTGCGGATGCATGGTGTGGATGCATGGTGCGGATGCATGGTGTGGATGCATGGTGCGGATGCATGGGTGGAGCACCAACAACCCTGTACGCCATGACATGACATCCCCCACTAAGCCTAGCACAACCACTCACTGTCATGCACCATCATCCCACCTGCCAGCAGTAGCTCCAGGTGACTCGCGCCCACAGCCCTGTACGGCATCACACCCCGCAGCAGGGATGCCACACATGGTGAAATGTGATGCAACGAGCGAAAAAAACACATCACCCCACCTGCCAGGAGCTCTAGAAGGCTCGCTCCCTCAGCCCTGTACGCCATCACATCCCCCAGCAGCGACGCCACTATGCCTAGCAGCACTACTACTCACAGTCATTCATCATCAATCCACCGGCCAGGAGCTCCAGGTGACTCGCGTCCACAGCCCTCTACGCCATCACATCTCCCAGCAGCGATGCCACACATTGTGAAACATGAAGCAACGAGCGAAAAAGCATTTCACCCCACCTGCCAGGAGCTCTAGGTGGCTCGCCCCCACAGCCCTGTACGCCATCACATCCCCCAGCAGCGATGCCACTATGTCCACCTCGTCGTCTACCTCGTCCCTGGGGCAGGACGGAGGGGGGAAGAGAAGAGCAAGAGGCAGAAAGGAGGAAAGACCTTCTGAGGCGCCATCCCCCAGCAGCGGTGCTGCTATGTCCACCTCGTTGTCTACATCGCCCCTGGGAAGAGAGGAGGGGCAAGGTGAAGCAGAGCCGGTGTGAGGAAGAGAAAAAAATGAAAAAAGCATGGAGAAACGCCACTATGTCCACCTCGTCGTCTTTTCTCCCTGGGAAGGGAAAAAGGGGGCCAGCACCAGCAAGAAGGGAATTTTTTTTTTTTTTAAAGGTTCATGAAACAACTCCCAGCAGCGACGCCAGTACGTCCACCTCGTTGTCTACCTCGTCCCAGGGAAGGGAGAAAGAGAAATCATACTAGAGGAGGAGGGAGAAAGAGGTATGGGGGCAAAGGACTTGGAGCCAACCTAAGACACCCTTCCAGCAGGGATGCCACTGTGTCCGCCTCATTATCCACTTAACCTCTGAAAAGGAGGAAGGGAAGAAGATCACAGCAGAGGAAGCAGGGGGAGATGAATACAAAGTGCCAATACTGTAGCACAGTGTTTCCCAAATGCTCCAGTTGAACATCCCTCTGTACTGTACAATAGTTTGTACTGTAAAATCCTTCCCTAAAGTGTGCAATGGAATACTTACCACGGCCTAGCCCGCCCCGTACAGCAAAGTATCTCCCGAATGCTCCTGTTAAACACCCCCCTGTAATGTACAGTAGCTTGATCCCACTATGATTCACAACACTATAGTGTGTAGCAGAAGTAAATACAATTACATACCACTGTCTTGCCCGCCCCATGCAGCACAATATCTCCCGAATGCTCCAGTTGAACATCTCCCTGTAGAGTGCAATGTTCTTATACTACAGCGTAGTGTATGGATTTGTCGCATACAGTACTGTACAGTACTGTACTGTACTGTACAACTCCATTCGTACCAGGGTCTTGCCCGCCCCATACAACACAGTATCTCCCGGATGCTCCAGTTGAACATCTCCCGATAGTGTGCCCGCCACGCGCGGTCCCGCATGGCATAGAACGACCGCCACATCAGCACGTCGCTGCCAGCTAAGCACTGCCCACCGACGGTAATCCAGCTGGCGGTAAGGACGAGGAGAGCCACTGGGAGGAGGTAGGCCGAGGGTCCTTGATAGCCCACTGGGGAAAAGCGCAGGGCAGGAGTGGAGGGGCAGGGGGGGCGGGGTAGGAGGACGTCAAAAGTAGCATGGATAGGAATATAGAAACGAAAAAAGAGCCTCCACTTTAAGGGGCACAGGCGCATCACGGGCCCACAGGGGCAGATCGGAGTCCAGTATGGATTGGATGGCGGGCATAGTGAGTGAGGAGAAGAAGCAAGAGAGCGATACAAGCTTGCAACGTGCAGGGCAAGAGAGCGATACAAGCTTGCAACGTGGTGGGCAAGAGAGCGATACAAGCTTGCAACGTGGTGGGCAAGAGAGCGATACAAGCTTGCAACCGCCACGTTTAAGGGGCATGAGGGTAGGTCAGAGTCCAGCATCGATTGGATGCTTGTCCAGGATTGAGAGGAGTGAGAGGGCGTACACTTTAAGGGGCATGAGGGTAGGTCAGAGTCCAGCATCGATTGGATGCTTGTCCAGGATTGAGAGGAGTGAGAGGGCGTACACTTTAAGGGGCATGAGGGTAGGTCAGAGTCCAGCATCGATTGGATGCTTGTCCAGGATTGAGAGGAGTGAGAGGGCGTACACTTTAAGGGGCATGAGGGTAGGTCAGAGTCCAGCATCGATTGGATGCTTGTCCAGGATTGAGAGGAGTGAGAGGGCGTATACTTTAAGGGGCATGAGGATAGGTCAGAGTCCAGCATCGATTGGATGCTTGTCCAGGATTGAGAGGAGTGAGAGGGCGTACACTTTAAGGGGCATGAGGGTAGGTCAGAGTCCAGCATCGATTGGATGCTTGTCCAGGATTGAGAGGAGTGAGAGGGCGTACACTTTAAGGGGCATGAGGATAGGTCAGAGTCCAGCATCGATTGGATGCTTGTCCAGGATTGAGAGGAGTGAGAGGGCGTACACTTTAAGGGGCATGAGGATAGGTCAGAGTCCAGCATCGATTGGATGCTTGTCCAGGATTGAGAGGAGTGAGAGGGCGTACACTTTAAGGGGCATGAGGGTAGGTCAGAGTCCAGCATCGATTGGATGCTTGTCCAGGATTGAGAGGAGTGAGAGGGCGTACACTTTAAAGCCCGCCCGGCAGGTTGCATATTTATACTGTTTAGGTAGGTGGGGCGGCAGAACCTGATTGGATGACGAAAGATTATGGAAACGAAATAGCTGGCGAAGACTGGGCTTCGCAGAGTCAGCGTCTGTTTCGCGCGAGCTAGCGGGGCTGGAAACTTGGCAGGGCTACCAGTTTTGCAGCTCACAATCTGGCAGAGAGCCACCTCGCCACCTCTGCCAAGTTTGCAGGGCGAGAACTTGTTGGCTGTTTCGATCGCAACCAACCCCTTTGACCTGACCGGTTTCGGAAAAACAAACCGGATGTTGTTTGACGCATATACAATTCGGTACAGTGAGACCCAAAAAATACGAATCACATTTTTGTTTCGCGATTCCCATCCACACTGCAAAATACAAATTCAGGTTTCTACCCCCCCCCCACCCAGCCCCTCCCATCCTTTCCCTCAAAGGACTCAGCAGGTTTGCACTGCCACGTTCCGAGAGGCCCCCAGCCCTGCCTAGTGGTTATCCTTCGCGAGCATTTGGCAGTTTGATGCCAGCTGCTCGGTTACGAGAGCCTCAAGGTGCAGCATCTTGAGAAAATAGGACTTGCAACCTGCCGGTCGGGCTTTAAGGGGCATGAGGGTAGGTCAGAGTCCAGCATCGATTGGATGATTGTCCAGGATTGAGAGGAGTGAGAGGGCGTACACTTTAAGGGGCATGAGGGTAGGTCAGAGTCCAGCATCGATTGGACGACGGCCACAGTGAGGAAGAGAGATGCGCCCGTTTGTAACAGGGTTACCACATGGCCCACCCTGCTCCACCTCACCCACGCCCTGTAGTGACGCTGACGGCAGAGGTAGGGTGGGTATGGGTGGTGGGAGAGGGAAGGTTTAGGAAGGCCAGGGGATTGGGGAAGAGGAAACAGGGCATAAGAGGATTGGAACAGCCATTGGAAAGCGGGTAAGGCTGGCGCAAAGGCTTTTACACTCTCTATGCCATTTGACACTCTCTACGCCATTTGACAGAAGTCCCACAATGCACCTCACTTTTCCTTGGTTTTCTGACTTTGTTCGCACTCCCAGGCGCCTCGTGAGCCGACTGAGAAAAGGTCCACACAGAAACCTAAAAAAGAACTTGGCTTTCTCACTTCTTTGCGGTGCCCGACAGCTTTTAAGCCTATTAAAAGTTGTATGATCCCAACAGGGAACCCACCTACAATACAACCCAACACACACCTGTCGTTCTGATTTGTTCGCACTGCTAGACATCGACCTCGAGAGCCGGAGGGGCTGCTGCTCCTCGTCACAGTCAGACTCACTCTGAATCTCGAGCACATTCATGCTTGTCCCACCTGCACCCAACACACACACCCCACCCACATGCACGCAACACAAACCCCCATAATCACCTGGCGTTCTGACTTGTTCGCACTGCCAGACAAGGAGCTCGAGAGCCGCAGGGCCTGCTGCTCCTCGTCCCAGTCAGACTCCGCATCACTCCCACTCTTTCCCAAGTCCCATCCGCCTCCTCCTCCCCCGCTGCCATTTTCCCCCCCTCCGCTGATTCCTCCGCCTCCTCCTCCCCCTCCTCCCCCTCCTCCTCCTCCCCCTCCCACTCCCACTTCCCCACCCCCTGCCCCTCCCCCCCCTCCTCCTCCTGCTTTCCCTGCTGCTCCTCTTCTCCTGCTTTTCTCGCGTGCAGCAGCGACCCTGCTGCTTCCGCCTCTGCCAGGAGCTTCGTCCTCCTTGTAAGCCGATTTCCCGCTCTCGTTAAGAGACGCGAAGTCCTGCGCTGAGCCGGCTACGGTTATCGCGTCAGCAGCTGCTGCCTGAGCTGCTGCTGCGCCTACGGCCCAAAACAGACGCAGGAGGCATGTGAATGCGACTGTAATGAATGAGATTGTAACGGTGCTGGAGCATTCGTTTCGCTTGCACTTTACACCTGTTGCGAGAGAAATTCCGGCGACGAGCAGAATGAATGGCAGAAGGATGAGAGAAATTGTGCGAAACCGGCGAAGCCCGCTACAGCAACCGAAGTCTCTTCGCCACGTCCCCATTTCGTCGGCATGAGAAGGAGGCAGCAGCGACTTAATTTAGGCAACAGGAATCAGGATTATGAGACGCTTCCATGATTAGAAGTCATGGACGGTTTCAAATACCGATCGATTGACTTGGTAGACGAGAAATCAAGGTATCGTCGACCTTCTTCGGTATCTGAACACTAATTAACTACGTTGGCACAGCCGATCCAAGCTTGAAGCCGTTCAGGAAGCATTCACATCATAACGGTCGAGTCTGAAGGTGGTCGCTGTTGGACGACCAGCTAAGCGGTATTTGTGACCATAAGTGAGAAGTTACCTGGTCTGTATTGTACTCTGAACCGCATGGCTGGAGGCGGAAATGGAGTCAAGCCTGACTGGAACGGGCAGAGTTCAACAAGTGTGACAGCCAAACAATTCCCCGCTCTGTGCGAAGCTCGCTACAGCAACCGAATCTTCAATGCAGGGTCGCACTCAGCGGGGTTGGATGTTGCTTGATGCACTACAGAGAGTTGCAGAGTGGTGAAGTATGGTGATGTGTCAAGGCAAATGCCCTTGACCCTACAAAAGAGCAAACGAGCCAGCCTGATACCGAACCCAGCCTAGATACACCCTGATACGGTTTGGGTGGTTAGTTGGCTTGCTGCTGACCCTGAAGACTCCCTTGGGTGCGGGAGATGCTCGAGGTCGGGAAACAAGACAGCAGCATCGACGGCAGACATGACTTTTACCTTGGAATCTACGGACGAGTCATTGTTTCGAAGTCCAGTCCGCGAATTGCCGAATCAAGCGTGTGAGGGAGGGTGGTTAGGTTGGTTCGACCTGGTTCTAGTTCGGTCGAGCTGGTTTTATTGGTTAACGTACTTGCTTGCGGTGTCTGGTTCGACGTTTGCATTTCATTTCCATTACCATTTTGACACAAGTCAGGACTTACGTCTAGCACTCGACATGTTCTTGCTTCGTGTCATCAGCCTGAAAATTGCCCGAAAACTGCCCGTGAGCTAGGCTCGGCCGAACCTAGCCTACAGGCAAATTTTGGATGACACTGGCGGATGACACGACGCAATAACGTGTCATCGACTCCTGGAAAAACCTGACTTGAGGAGGTGGATACAAGTCAAAATTGGTCTTTCGCCAGGGTTCGCGAGAAGTGTCCCTGTGGCAAGTGTCGAAGTCCAAAATCGACGATGGGAGCGGAACGTAGTTTCTGGGCAACTGACCAGCCGAAGGGGCAGATAGAAAGTGAGCAACAGTCTGCCACATGCGATCTGGCGAAGTCACGTGCGACAAGCAAGCAGAATCGGGGGGGTAGTTTTGGCGAAGCAGTTCAGGCTGGCGAGTTTCGCGAATCCCGCAAATTTGCAAGCTGCAATTTTCCAGTGTCGAATCGTGCGTGAGCAGGTTTAGATTTCGGTTTGGGCAGGCAGTACACTACTGTCCATGTTGCATGTGTGCTGGTGCACCCCGAAGTTTCGAGCAAACGACTGGAGGTTGGGACCGGAACGGAGCGGAGTGGAGCAGAACTCTACTTGCCACACACCCTGCGGGTACAGTACCGCTTTCGAAGCAGCCCATTCCCTGAGGGCGGGTCCCAATAGTTCATTTCACGGTACGGGACACGATTTTACGAATCCCGGTACAAATCCCTGAAACGATTCCGTTTCCGTAAATCTTTGTAATTGTGTCCCTGTGCGCACGCGGCGCACAAGCGGGACGCCAATTGTCCACATGTGAAAAAACCGAGCTGCGCGCAACAGCACCAAACGCAGTTACCAAATGTAAGCCTGCGCGAAACATAGGTTTCGCACACCGCGCAAAAGACAGCAGGCGGGGAAACCCATCCCGCTTTTGCAAACATTGGCAGCGGCGAGCCAGGGGGGCCAATCAACAAGCGGGGGAATCTTTCCTGGCGGTCAGCGTGATGTGTGTATCAAGCATTCACCTTCGTTGCTGTTCCGAAATTTTCAGGCGCATAGCATTTTATCGGGCTGTTGTCAGTTCCATCGGCAAGTAGGAGTATCTGTTTTGTGTGTGTGTGTATGTTGTTTTTTTTTTTTTTTTTTCACGCCTTCTCGACGGACTTCTCGGCGGGGCCTCTTGTTTTCTGGGGCTTCTTGGGCGGGTGGGGGTGGGGAAACCAGAAACTCACCCCATTCTGTCGGCGCAGAGTGGTCCAACTAGTGGCGCGTTCGGTTGCGGATGCGGAATGGCGTTGCGCGCGCAGATGTATTCGCGACATCGCCCGGTTTTCGCCATCGCCAGCGGGGCGATATCCAGGCGCGACACACTTGGAACCTCGTCCCCGAATCTTGCACCTTCCGTGTTTTTTACGTTTGCAATCCGAAATTGGTACACGGCCCGACGCATGGGAAAGGTGTCCCAGGCTACGTCAATATTTGAGACGTGTCCTGGCGAAACCTTAAACAAGGTTTCGCTCGTTAAAATCGGGTTACTTTTCACGAAATGAATAGAACGTGAACTATTGGGACCCGCCCTGAGCCTTCAGCTGTGCGACAACGAGCAAGAACGAGCGACCAAAACGAATCTGACGGGCAGTTTTTCACGACCAACGAAAGAGCCTCCAAAGCCCGAAGACGTAGTTACCAGGGGATCCTCCGTTTGTTTCGCTGAACACTCTAAGCCGCAAAGATGGTCTCGCGAAACGAGTTACCAGGGAGATGCGGGTAAGGGACGGAGTCACGCACGCCCTTGGATTTGCCGTCTTTTCACGGCATTGGTCGGCGAAGGCATGTGCAGCTGGGTGCAGTTCACCGCGCACCACAAGCGCCAGCAGGAAGTGTGGCAAGTGGCAATCCCCATCGAGCAATACTTCTTGGGTTCGCAGCTGGGTTGCAAGCAAACTCCAATCCCAGATGTTCCCATCCCACCGTCATCCAACACTTGCTTGCCTGACTCTCACCTTTCACTCTCATCTTTCACTCAACAAAAGCTCCTCACGCTTCTCGCAATGGCTCCGTCGGCTAGTACTCTTCCCGAGGTTCTTCCCGAGCCAAAACACTTTATCGATGTCGCAATTGCGGGAGCTGGTCTCGCCGGTCTCGCGCTAGCAGTCGGTCTGCAGGAGCGGGGCTTTAACTCTGTCATGCTCTTCGAAGCCGTACCTCATTCCCGCTCCGAAACCGGCACGATTTTCGCCATGTTTCCCAACGGCACGAAGGCGCTCGAAGGAGTAAAGCCGGGGCTCAGCGACACTTTGATTGGTTGCGGATCAACGACAACGCGAACTAGGTCCGTTATCCGACGAAATCCGACGATTAATAATTCTGAATCGGCCACTACGTCTACCAGCGGCTTAAATAGCATCGGTTCCGCCACTAGCGATGCTGATAGTAACGGAAACGGTGAGAATCGCGGGGACTGGATTGTGCGGACATTGGCGAGAAACCAGACAATCGTGGGGTGGGGGAGGGCCCAAGAGGTCCTTGCCTCGTCCCTAACGCGACCCGAGATTATTATGCACGGGCATCGCGTAGTTGCGTACCGGCCAGTCGTCGCAGGGGGGGGCGTTGAAGGATCGCAAGGCGGCAGTGGCGCCAGAGAGGGAGAGGTGGAAGCGGTTGACGTGGTGCTCGAGGTCGTGGGTTCGAATCCCGAAATTGACAAAAACAACTCCACCTGTGCTGTTTCAGAAGGAGCTAATATCGCGGGCAAGGCAGGGGCGGCGCAGCGGGATCTGGTGGTGGTTAGAGCGAAGGTTCTGGTCGCAGCGGATGGCGTGCGATCAGCCGTGCGAAATCAGATGATTGGTGACGCGCCACGGTATTTGGAGCAGGTTGGGTGGAACGCGCTTGTGTCGAACCCTCCTGGTGCGAGAGTGTACCCCCAGGAGGATGGGGAGTTGTTGTATTTCCTGGATGAGGTTACAGGTTACCAGATGTTTTTGATTGATATTGGCCATGGGAAGACCTTCTGGCAGGTATGCCGTCGTGTACCAGGCCCACTCACACGAATGATTCGTCCAAGTTTTTCACTCCACATGCGAACATGTACACTTGCATCTTAATTATTGCTCCCCCTCTCTCTATGTCTCTCTCTCACTCCTTGTATGCTAATTCGTACTTCTTTTCGTTGATTACCCAAACCTCAGGTTCGTTTGGCTGACCCAGACAGCAAGCTCAAGGAAGAGCTCCAGCAAACACCCTTTGGCGGCTTTGGGAAGCCAGGTGTCAAAGACCGCCTGATGTGCCACGTCAGCAAGAATGCATCGGATCCCTCAGGGCATGACACGTGGCAGACTGTGCTGCAGGCAGTTACCACCACCGACCCGTGTAACATCTACGAGCGGTGGATGCTGGATCGTGCCCCGCTAAGGGATTCTTGGAGTGACCCTAAGTGTGGTAACAGGGTGGTTCTTATGGGGGATGCAGCTCATGCCATGCACACAGGCCCGGGACAGGGGGCACAAACTGCATTTGAAGATGCACACCAATTGTCCCTGTGCCTTGCTGAATTTAAGGATGTACTCTCCGAGCCTGCTGCCGTGGCTGCTGCGGTTCGGGAGTACGAGGCTCGGCGGATCGATCGGTGTGTGAGGATACATGGGTACGCCACCGGTTCGCATGGGTTTGGGGAGGAGGGGAGGTTGGTAAAAGGGCTTTCCCTCCCCGAGAAGATGACAAGGATGATGGAGTTCCAGACTTGGGTCCATGCGTATCCGGACAAGATCAAAGGTGATCCTGATTCCACCTGCTTCAGTTAGGGAGCTTTGCAATTGAAGTGACTGTGTTGCTTGTCATACGTTTGTGCTTTTTGTTGTGTCCTAGGTGTCAACAAACATACGGTATATATTTGTAAATACTCTTAACGTAGAATCGAATGTAGAGAGAAAACAGTACAAGGGTATAAGCCTAAGTGTTGTACCCTCTAAGATACAAACCTATACATTCTACACAAACATAAACTATATATGTTTGACACATCCCCTAGACTGCATAGGTGCAGTTCCAGATGAGAGAAACGGCAACTCAGGGCGGCACTACTAGTCCAACCTTTGAGTCAAGGGTCTAAAGACCAGTCAAACAAGTACAGACCAGTGCAAGGGCAAGACCAGGGCAGCACTACTAGTCCAGCCACTGGGAGAGGCCACAAGGCAAGTCAAGAATAAAATATATATAAAGGTCAGTACATAGTCAAGACCCTAGCAGGTGAGAGGTAACAGAAACAAGGCCTAGCTGTACACAGTGCCGCTGATGATCTTTAGGCACAAGGGCCTTCGTAAAGATATCAGCTGTGTTGGCACCGGAGGCCAAGTGTACTACGCGAGCCTGGCGACACCGCTGCAGCTCACGCAGGAGGAAGTACCGCAACTGGATGTGCTTTGCTCTGCCCTCAAGTCGAGGCTCCTGACACAGGAGGATCATGGCCCTGTTGTCAGCATACAGGACTGGTGCAGAGCTAGGCCGCTCACCTAAGTCAGTGAGCAGGAAGGTCAGCCAGCGAAGCTCCTGTGCCGCCATGGCACCGGCGTAGATCTCGGCCTCACCGCTGGACTGGGAACAAACGAGGAGCGAGTAGCTCTCCACGAGACAGCACCTGAACCAAGGCTAAAGCAGTAGCCCTGCGGGGACCTAAGGGTCTCAGCGTCGTCTGCCCAAGAAGCGTCTGTGTGCCCAGTAAGGACCACCGGCCTGCGTCCTCCCAGCACTAACCCCATACCTGATGTGCTCGCGAGATAACGCAAAACCCTCTTAGCTGCAGACCAGTGCTGAGGTCTGTGTGTGCCTGTGGCCACAAAGCGAGCCAGGATGCTGAGAGGGTATGCGAGATCTGGACGAGTGCAAGTCATCAGGTACATGAGGCAACCCACCAGCTCTGCGTAAGGACCACTGGGCTCTGCTGACTCCTCAGGAACTGGAGCAGAGAGCCTGTGATCTACTGGAAGAGGTGTGGGCTGTGCGGAGGAGAACTGAAGACTGAACCTCTGAAGGACCTGGCGCACCAAGTGTGACTGGGTGGGAGTGATGGTGCGCGCTGCTCTATCTCTGGAGAACTGCAGGCCCAGGTAGTGGCGCAGCTCTCCTAGGTCAGTGCAGGTGTGTCTCCTCAGCAGCTCAGCCTTCACAAAGGCCAGCGCGGTGGTGTTTGCAGTGGCAAAGACCAGATTGTCTATGTAGACAAGGATGTAGAACGGAGTCTGGCCAGAACGAACAAAAAGCGAGGGGTCTGCGGAAGACGGAAAGAACTGCAGGGTTGCAGGGATAGCACGCAGCGTGTCGTGCCACTCGCGGGGAGCCTGACGCAAGCCGTAGACTGGGCGCCGCAGAAGCCCCTGGGTCCCAGGAGGGAAGGTACTAGTGAAACCCTGAGGGCGGCGCAGGTAGACCTGCTAGTGTAGACTGCCCTGAAGAAACGCAGTGGAGAAGTCGAGGGAGTGTAACTCGTAGTCACACTGTGCTGCTACGTGTAGTAGTACCCGAAGAGTAGTCATCTTCGGGGTCGGGGCGAAAGTCTGAAAGAAGTCCACCCCCTCACGCTAACTAAAGCCTCTAGCCACGTAGCGCGCCTTGAACACAGTCGGCTCTCCAGGAGGGCGCTTCACCTTGAAGAGCCGGGGGCCATCGACTACGTTCACCCCAGGTGGAGGAACTGCGTCGACGTAGGTGCTGGTGGATCTCCAAGATACCATCTCCTGCTCCATGGCAGCTATCCACTGAGAGGCCCAAGGTCCCGAGGTTGCCTCAGCGTAAGTGCGAGGGGTCGGGATGTCGAAGCGTCTAGTTCACCCTCAGGGACTAACAGCATGGAACAGAGATGGGGACCAGCCTCGGACAGGAAAGCAAGCTCGTACTGACGGTCCTCCAGGACGTCACTGCCGAGGGCAGGAGCACTCTTGACAGACGGAGGACAGGAAGGGTCAGAGGACAGGAAGGGTCAGAGACCAGAGCGGTGGCGTAGTAAAGGCGGCAGGTAGAGGCGAAGTCAGCGGCCGCAGCGACAACATCATCAAGACACGAGATCGGAACAGATGGGTCGCTAATGAGAGAGGCAAGGACCCGAGGAACAAGAGGATGAGCGGCGCGAAGGTAGTTAGACAGAGGGGGAGGCGCAACAGCAAGGGAGGACGGATGTTACAGGATCGAATGACTCGAGGAAAGATTGCACTATCGATCAGTACAAGGCGCTTTTATACTTCCAGAGTACATCAGGTAACCAGGTTTATCTTATCCTAAGGGCATAGACCCTTCTAGAAGATAGAATCACCCTGCGTATAGCCACGCGAGGCTATTGGCTTTAAGGGATTACAGCAGGATTACGCTAGATATAGCGCTCCAGTACATCCCAAGCCTGGTCGGTGATATAATTATAATAGCAGGATAAACCAAAGGTTAAAGGAAAATGGAGAATAGGAAACCAAATGAGATGGGACAAAAAGAGAAATGAAAAGAGGAAGGAAATAAGAAACGGGACAAGTGGTGTAACGGGGTCGTACTCTCACACTTCCCCCCCTCAAAGCTGGGTGGTAGAAGTAACACCCTGCTTTACAAGGTAGTCATGCACAGGACGACGGGCGTTACCCATGTCGGTCTCAGGTACCCAGCTGTCCTCAGAAGGATCATAACCCTTCCAACGGATGAGAAGCTCCACGGTGCCATTCCGACGACGGCGGTGTGCAAGCACGGACTCGACCTCGTACTCGGGTTCATTCTGGATGAGGACGGGCGGCGGCGGCGGGGGTTGGCGTCCGACGAAGATCGTGTTCGGATCCCGATAGGGCTTCAGAAGTTGGACATGGAAGGCGTTGTGAATCTTCCGGGTAGCTGGCAGGCGTAAGCGGAAGGTAACAGGAGTGACCCGTGCTTCAACGAGAAAAGGTCCGCAGAAGCGAGGTCGAATTTTAGGTGGGAGGTGGCTGATGTCCAGGTTGCGGGTGTCAAGAAGCACCTGGTCTCCCACCGTGATGGTGTGATCGTTGCGATGACGATTGGCCTGGCGCTTCTGTTGCTGTTAAATGTCGAGGAGGCGCTTGTGGGTCCGATCCCAAAGCTGATGCATGGTTGTGATGAAATCATGTGCAGGTTGGACTCTAGCTGATGCTGTCGGTTTTTGTGGTGTGAGTGGGTGGCGTCCGTAGCAGAGGAAGAACGGCGTCTGTCTAGTAGCGGCATGTGTAGCATTGTTGTAAGCAAACTCTAGAACGGGCAGGTGCAAGTCCCATTTGGAGATCTCGTCCTTGCACGCTGCGCGGAGGAGTTGCTCGACAATCTGGTTGAGGCGCTCGGCCTGTCTGTCTGTCTGCGGGTGGTAAGCAGATGACATGGCGAGTTTGGTCCCAAGGAGAGACAGAAGTTCCTTCCAGAACTTGCTGGTGAACTTGGGGTCTCGGTCGGAGATAAGTGTGGTTGGAATGCCATGCTGTGAGATGATGTATCGAACGAAGAGTTGTGCTGTTTCTTCGGTGCGTGCTGTCGTGTGTGTCGGGATGAAGTGTCCCATTTTTTAGAATTTGTCGATGACGTCAAGGATGGCGTCATGACCGCTGGTGGTAGGTGGTAACCCGGTGATAAAGTCCAGGCTAACCACTTGCCATGGTTGTTCTGGGACAGGAAGAGGCTGTAGTAGGCCTGCCTTCTTGTGCTTGCTGCTCTTCATCCGCTGACATGTATCACATAAGGTGACGAATTTCTGAACATCTTCTGCCAAGTGGGGCCAGTAGTAGTGCTTTGCAATACCGGTGAGCGTCTTGTTGCTACCGAAGTGTCCGGCGTAGAGGACGTTGTGGTATTCTTCGAGTAGTAATTGGCGCAAAGGAGGGTAATTGGGTACCCAGATTTTCGTTGATCCTTTCCGGTATGCGATGTCACTGTCCCACTGTAACAGATGTCGTTTCTCTGCCAAGGGAATTTCGGGGTCGATGGTGTACCCGTGTGTGAAGAGTCCCTTGAGTAGTGGATTCATCCCTTCGATCTGAATAGCTGCAACGTGTGCAGGCCGGCTGAGAGCGTCTGCTTTGTTTTTGTGGCCGGGCTTGTACACGATGTCGTAGTGGAAGTGTGTCTCGAGGAAGTCGATCCACCGGACTTGCCGCCTGGAGAGGTTGGGTTGTGTCTTCCAGTATTTCAGGCTGCAGTGGTCGGTGTAGACGGTTGTTCTTCGTCCTTCGAGATAACATCTCCACGCTTTGAAGGCGATGACGATGGCAAGGGCCTCTTTGTCGTGTATCGGGTAGTTTAGTTCTGCTCCGTGCAATTTCTTGCTGAGGTAGGCGGTTGGTTGCAGTCCATTTCCCTGGTCTTGCATTAAGACTGCTCCCACTCCCTGGTCGCTGGCGTCAGCTTCGATGACGTAGTCGCATTCGGGATCTGGCAAGATGAGTACTCGTGCGAACGTAAGTGCTTGCTTTAGCTGCTCCATGGCTTCCTGGTGCTTTGGCTCCCATTTGTAGGGCGTGTTCTTCTTCAGCAGATTCGTGAGTGGTGCTGCGAGTTTTGCATACTGTGGTACGAACCTGTTGTAGTAATTAGCGAAGCCTAGGAATTGCTGCAACTCCTTCACGTTCTCGGGTGTCTTCCACGTATGTACGGCTTCGATTTTCTTGGGGTCGACGTGAACTCCTTGAGCGCTCACCATGTGTCCTAGGAACTGGACCTTCTCAAGGGCGAATTCGCTCTTGGACAGTTTGACGTAGAATCGTTCTCGTCGAAGAATTTCGAAGACGCGTCGCAGGTGTTTCACATGCTGCTTCATGTCGCGCGAGTAGATGAGTATGTCGTCCAGGTATACCACCACGCACTCGTCCAAAAGTGGTCGTAGAATGTGGTTCATTTCGGCTTGGAACGTTGCCGGTGCGTTGTTAAGTCCGAACGGCATTACCAAATACTCGTACGATCCATACCGAGTTCGGAAAGCAGTTTTGTGGATAGAATTGTCCGCCATCCGTATCTGCCAGTATCCGGACTGCAGATCCAGTTTGGAAAATACCGTAGCTCCCCGAAGCTGGTCAAGCAGGTCATTGATTTGCGGTATCGGATATTTATTCTTCATGGTCTGCTTGTTAAGAGCTCGGTAGTCGATGCACATGCGCTTCCGTCCGGTTTTGGTGTGAAGAGTACTGGGGCACCGTACGGTGAAGTGGATGGTCGGATGAGTCCTTTAGCTAGGAGATACTCGATTTGTTTTTTCATGTCGGTCAGCTCCGTAGGGCTGAGCCGATATGGTGCTCGGAAGGTCGGCTTCGAACCCAGTTCCTCTACGATTTCGTGTTGATGTGTTCGGTATGGCGGTAGCTCATACAGAAGATCGTCCGGAAGAATGTCTTGGAACTCCTTCAATAATTCCTTGATCTTTCCTGGAGGTTCCGAGGTTTTTTCCCTGTCGTTCTCCGCCTCTGTTGCTATTGCCAGGAACCCGGTGTCGATTCGCTTCACGTCCTTCTCGAATCATGCGAGTGTCTCCACTGGGATATTTTCTGTATCGTCCCAGTTGGGTAGCTGTACTCTCCGTCCATTGTTGTAGATGCTTGCGGTGCGATTCACCTCGTTGATCTCGGGGTTGAATCTTTTTAGGAAGTCTCGCCCGAAGATCAAGTCAAGCCCTTTGAAGTTGGTGATGGGAAGTGTAGGTCTCCAGCGCAGTGGTCCGATTTGTAGGTGTAGCACTGCTTCGCCGTGTACTGGTAACTTGCTGCCGTCCACCATCGTTGCAGAGAATCCTGAAGGCTTGTACTCTTCCCGAAGTCGGTTGATTACTGCCTTGTCGCAGACGGTGTGCGATGCTCCGCTGTCCACGAGTGCTTGGAGGCGTCGTCCTTTGCAGATGACCTTGAGCACGAGGGGCAGGCGTTGCTCGGAGTACCCAAAAATGGTTTCATTTATTGGGTCATAGGGTACATCCCAATATTCCGTACACACCTTTGTGTTGCTATCTACTCCAGAGCTGGTAGCTGGCCGAGGTTGCTTGGAGAACGGTTCTTCTCCAGGGCCCGGAGTTTCCTTGACGACTGTGCGCGTCACTGATGCCGAAGAACTGGATGCATCTGGAGGAGGAGTTCGGGGTTTGTGCAGCTTCTTATAGACCCCCAGCTTCCTCTTGAGCTGCTTCAGCTCCACCGACGTCTTCCCTGGGGAACGGGTAGTCGTTCTGGGTTGGTGTCGGGAGAGGACGTTGATTCTGTGGAAAGGTCGGCTTCTTTCCACACTCCTTAATTTTTTCCCCAAGTTGTCCGGTACCGGTATAATCTCCACATCTGTCTGTTTCTTTTGGAGTCCCTCCCGAAATTTCTCCAAGGCTCTAGCCCCTTGAAAATCATAAGTTTTCATTAAAGCATCTTTATAGGATAGCTTTAACGAATCCTTATAATTTCTTGGGTCTTCGAGGAGTTTCCCCGTCTTGGCAGAGTCTTTTTTCGCGGAGTCGTATTTTTCCTCGGCGATTTTCCCTGGCGAAGACTGGTCGTGGGGTGGAGATTTTCCCCCATCATTTCCTCCTTCTCGCGTCGAATCAGCTTCGTCGAAGTTGATTTTCCCGGAATCCCGCGGCCGCTTCCGGATCTTTTTATTTTCACCAGCTAGATCCGCAATCACTGGCGACTCCCGTTTTTTGGCTTCTGATTGGCCGAAGGATTTCCGCCACTGTTGCGTGCCCGATACTCTGCGCGTGCGGCTTTCATTTTGTTGCAGTCGAAGATTCGATGACCCGGCACCCCGCAAAAATCACACGTGTAGTTGGGTGTTTTTCGGACGTGGCCGCCCCTCGAACCTGTCGACTTCCATCGGGTCGACGAACGTGGGGTGAGCCGAGCGGTCGCCCTGTCGCGTACTGCCGACGTGCGTCCGTCGTGTCCTGGCGTTGACCATGTCGAAGCGCTCCGCTGCCGAAACGACGTCACTGTAGCTCGCGTAGTTTGACGCTGCTACCTGGCGTTTGACTTCGGTCTTCAGCCCGGCGAGGTACGATTGTACTTTTTCCCCTTCGGTCAGGTCGGGAATTCGGTTATAAAATTCCTCCATCTGCTGCGTGTACTGTGCTACACTCCCGAACTGTCGATGGCGATGAATTTTTTCCCGGGCAAGGAAACTGGAATTTATCGGCTCGAAGCGTTTCAGCAGGTCGGCGCGGAACTGCTGCCACGTGGCTTCACCGTGGATAAAAGTGCTGTTGCCGCCAATCCACTCGAGTGCCGACCCTCGCATCAGTGACGCCGCGAGTCGTACGCGTTGACCGTCCCAGACTGGCGAGCTCCATCCGACGGCTGCGAAGTAGATCTCCATCCCGGCGATCCATCTGCGGGCGTCGGAGTTTCGATCGCTCGGATCGAACGGCTCAGGTGGGCGCGGTTTTGGAGCCTCGAGAAACTGCTGCGACTGCTGCGTCGTCGCCGTTGTCGAGTCGTGCTGCGCTCCGGCGAGTCGAGTTACTCGCTCGAACTCGTTTCGCCACGCTTCACGACCTGCTCGCATCTCCTCCTGAAGGGCTGCGATGCACGCGAAGAGCTGCTGGGTAACGTCGGTGTTGTCGAAGGTTGCCATCCTGTTCAAAACACGCGCGGAGGGGGTAATTCGAAAAAACGCGGAGCTGGTGCTTACCAGAATCGGCGTCGAATTGGTCGCCCCCGGCGGTTTTTCGAGGCAGGTTTTCCCGCTGCTGCTGCTTTGTTGAGCGCGGCCGAGTGAGAAAAGCTCTGATTACCAAGTGTCCCAGGATCGAATGACTTGAGGAAAGATTGCACTATCGATCAGTACAAGGCGCTTTTATACTTCCAGAGTACATCAGGTAACCAGGTTTATCTTATCCTAAGGGCATAGACCCTTCTAGAAGATAGAATCACCTTGCGTATAGCCACGCGAGGCTATTTGCTTTAAGGGATTACAGCAGGATTACGCTAGATATAGCGCGCCAGTACATCCCAAGCCTGGTCGGTGATATAATTATAATAGCGGGATAAACCAACTGTTAATGGAAAATGGAGAATAGGAAACCAAATGAGATGGGACAAAAAGAGAAATGAAAAGAGGAAGGAAATAAGAAACGGGACAAGTGGTGTAACGGGGTCGTACTCTCACAACGGAGGCGGCGACGGTAGGAGTGGAGACGAGTCTGGGGGAGGGAACACAGGGCCATAGACAGGAAGGGGAGGAGACGGCAGGGGAGGCACAGACACGTGGTCAGGGGACGGGAGGCCGAGCAGGCGAAGGGCTGACACTGGCGGTGAGTGCTGGTGCGGCGGCACGACACCGACACCGGGATGGCAAGCTGCTCCACGGCTACCTCTGGAACACTCCACTCCAGCACCCCCATAAGGAACACCCCCACAACCCGAAACCCCGCGACCACCGGTACCACCCCCAGGCCCTCCAGGACAAGCCACGACAGGAACCCCAGGACTAGTACCCACCCCAACGCCAGCACCCCCATAGTCAACGAACTGCTGCTACGACGGTTGCGGCGACGGCTGCGGCGGCGACGGCGGTTGCGAAGGCGGCAGAGGAGGACACGCCTGGGAAGGGGCAGGCGACGAGGACTGCGCCGCAGGGCCACCAGAGTCAGCAGACTCCTCGACCGGGACAACCGACAGGAGGGGAGTGACGTGAGACACACTAGACGGTGTAGGACGGGGAGAGGGAGGGGCGGGGACAGGGGCGACCGGGGAAGGGGTGACCAGGAACAGGGAGGGAGTAACCGGGGGACCTCTGTGGGGGAAGCGGCGGTAGAAGGAGACGGACTCATCAAAGGTGACGTCACGGGAGTGAAAGAACCGGTGAGACGGTGGGTGGTAGAAGTGCCTGTCGGACGCGTCAAGGGGGAAACCAAGGAAGACACAAGGGAGGGTGCGGGCACTGAGCTTGTATGTGCCAGAGGCATGAACGTGAGCAAGGCAGCCCCATACGTGAAACGTAGATGCGTCACCAGGAGACCCGGACCAAAGAAGGGTCGGCGAAACCTGCGGCTGCTGGGGGTGCGGCCACAGGTTAAGCTGATGAGCGGCGTAGCGAACAGCGAACGGCCACAGAAAATGGTGTGTACTGGCATGGATCATGGAGGTACGAGCCACCTCCATGACCAAGCCGATGCGTCGCTCATTGACCCCATTCTGCTACGGGGAATCCGGCAAGGTGAACGTCTAGGTGATGCCCTCCGCACGACAGAAACGACCAAGGACACAAGAGGCAAACTCGCCACCACGGTCGGAGTGGAGACGCAAGACAGGGAGACCGCGGTGGACACGCGTAGAGACAAGCCACGGGATAAGAATGTCAGGCACGTTGGCCTTCCGCTCCAGGGGGAACACCGTGGTGTAGCGCGTGTAGTCGTCGACAAGCACTAGGAAGTAGCGCTCTCGACGCGGCCCATGAACTGGGGCAGGGCCCCAGACGTCCATGTGCAGAGTCTGTAGCGGTGCGGTGGTAGGGGGGAACGAGGAGGAGTGAGGGGCACGGCGGAGGCGGCCCTCAACACAGGGCGTGCACGGTGGTGCTGGGGAGGAGGGCAACTCAGGGAACGACCCTGGGAGACCTACGACAAGACCGTGCTGTGACATGTGACGCAGACGCTGGAGTGCGGGGTGACCTAGACGGTGGTGCCACAGGAGTGTCGGGTGAGTGAGCGACCGACAAGAGCAGGCCGCAGCAATCTGGGTAGACGCAGCCACCTGAGAAGACGTCCCTACCAGGGGGGTCGTAGTGTCCAGTGTGAACTGGCCGGACACCGGGTCCCGGGGGAACGTGATGAGGGGGGCACCAGTGGCGGCCTCGGTACAGACAGCGTACCGCTCATGACCAGAGAACGTAGTGGTGACGCCAAGGTCCTGGAGGCAGCCGACACCAACTAGGTTCCTGGAGAACGAGGGGATGTGCAGGCATGGAAGAGAGCCCGAAGGAACCGCCGGACAGGGAAGAGTGGTGGAACTGCGAGCGACTACCGGGCCGGAGGCGGCAAGAGAAACTGCAGTAGGAGTAGCAAGTGGCGTCAGCATAGTGGAGTCACGGAAGAAACACCGAGAAGCGCCAAAATTGAGGGTGAAGGAGAGCACAGCAGTGGTGTCTGAAGAGAGAGCAACGACAGTAGAACCTAGGCTAAACAAAGCAGGGGATCCTA